GAGAGAGGGAACACAAGCAGGGGGAGTGGGAGAGGGAGAAGCAGGCTTCCCGCAGAGCAGGGAGCCCGATGCGGGGCTCAATCCCAGGATCCCGGAACCATGACCTGAGCCGAAGGCAGACGCTTAACGACTGAGCCACCCAGGAGCCCCAATAAAATCTTTAAAAATAAAATAAAAGGTCATTCTGGCTGCAGTGGGAGGAGCTTAGGGAAGGTATGGCTCCTTCAAAAACTCTTCTGGTGGGATGAGGTCCTCTCAAAGGTGAGGACTTTGGCACTGGGGCTGGCGTGGAGGCTCTCCCAGTGGGCGTCTCCCTGCCTTGACCACCTTCAGCGGGCTCCATTCGTCCCTCACTGCAGCCTCCCGGGACTCAGAGGTTCTGCTCCCTGCAGTACACTGAGGGAGGTGGGACTGGAGGGCTCTCTCTGCCTCTCCCAAGCCTCTGGGTTCTGGAGTAGAGATGACGTGGACTCCAATCCCAATTTTGTTACTCACTCGGACCTGTGTCCTCTTCTACAAGATGGGTAATAATAGGGCTTACCCACCAGGGTTCAGTGACATTTCCAACAAGGTCCCATGTGGAAAGTGTGAGTAATAAGCACCGATGTGGGAACGGTTGGCCATTGTCATTTATATTAGGAAAGAGCTAAAAAAAAAAAATAATAAAAAAAAATAATAAAAAAAAAAGAAAGAGCTTTTCTCCAGACCCCACATCTAGATGAACTGGAGGGGATGGGAGATAACAGAGATCACCACCTTCCCTGCATCCTTTCCAGCCTCTACTCCACGTTTTTGGGGAAGCCACGGCCAGGTGCTCAGACCCGGCTCGGGCCAGCCAGGCACCGCAGGGCTGGGCTCTGGGATCAGGAGTCACTGAGAGCACTGTGAGGAAGTGTCACCCAAACCTGGAGCCACCCCTGAGTGGGTAAGAACAGTGAGGTGTTGGAACTGACTCTCCACGTTGGTTGCTTGGAGCCCACGCTCAGTGGTTTCCAACCAAATGCTCCTCAGAACTGGAACACCTGGGAAATGTGGGATCCCAGGAGTTAGTTTGTGAATCGCTCCTCTGTGTTGGACACTTATATGGATCATCCCGTGTAATCAGTCATTTCGTTGACAATGGTTTATCGAGGGCCTGTTATTGCCTAGCTCCGTTCTAGTGGGGTGCGGTGTCTAAATGTGGGGTCTGTCCTGATCGCATGGGGGCCCCCAGATGTGGGGCGAAGATCATGTGGAAGCCGGTGGCACAGACTTTGAAAGAATTCACCTGAGGCAAAAGAAAGGAGACAGAAGTTGATGGAATACACCTGCAAGGGAATGGAGGGCAGGACAGCAAAGCAGAGACTGTCTGCCAGGAGGCAGTGGGTGAGGGCTGTTTGGGGAAGGTGAGGAGGTATGGCGACATAGGGCATTTTCCCTTTTTTGGTAACTGTGCCGGGTGGTAAGTAGCCCATTGGCGAGGTAGGTCACGTGGTGGGCCTGTCTGTATTCAGCCTGGGGGTCACTGTGGGCCCTTTCTACATTCCATCACTCAAGCCTGTTTGCCTAACAGTGGCCTCTTCCCCAACAGTGGCCTCTTCCCTGGGGGACAGAAAATAAACACCTCCACCACAGTGAAAAACATACCTGATTACAGATTGTAGGGGAAAAGGAGGAATGGGTCAGGAGTTAGGCCTGGAGGAGAAACTCCTTCTGAAACTCCTGATGCCTGCCTGGGTCATAGTCGGGCTCCATTGTCAAGCCTTCGATAATAAACAATGGCGCCTCCATTAACACTCATGTTTATTATGCTTGAGGTTGTATTTAACTGTTGACTAAACCACGAACTCTTTGAGGCAAGGACTGTGCCTGCCCCAAGGATGGTCCACCCACAGAAGGAGCTCATCAAAGGCCTCTTGGTTTTACTAACAGGCTCAACCCAGTGAGGTGGGAGGTAAATGAGGCCCAGGGAGAGTATATGAAACCTGATGTGCTAGGTTGAATAGGTGTCCCCCAAAGATTTACGTCTGCCCAGAACCTCAGAATGAGGCCTTATTTGGAAACAAGCTCTTTGGATGTCACTACTTAAGATAAGGTCATGCTGAATTAAAGTGGATCCTAAATCCAACATGACTGGTGTCTTTATTTTTATTATTATTATTTTTTAAAGATTTTATTTATTTATTTGAGAG